ATTATTAATTTCGTTTTCTGAAAACACGTAATATAATAAAGTACACAAGAAACATCTGTAAATCTAATATTAAACACGAGTACCTTAATGGTAGCTTCACATGTTAGGCAAGCAATAATATTAAAAAAAGAATACTTATTTTCTAAAAATATATTTTCCTCCTCTATTTCGTTAGTCATTAATTATATATTACTGGCAATTTATTTTTCATCCGCTTAATCGCCAGTTTCTTCCATCATTGTTACATATTGTCGAGTTTGTTGGAAATATGATATAACATTTAATGTATCGTGTGATGCAATAAATAATTGAATTCGCAACCTACACCGTTCATATTCAGTTCGAGCACTACGTAGTCGAGGACTACATTGTTGGCGGATCACCATACTTCAAGGAACTACCTCTTGCCGTCCTGGTCATATTGGCCGACGGAATATCACTTTTCCACTTTGGAGACTTGGATTCTGTAGTCCAGACTCATTTTCGACCAAAGGTATCCCGACCTTCCCATTGGTCAGCCGGATGTAGCCTTCGACCCGACGAGACCTCGACCCTGGAGTCCCATCATTGCTAAGTCGTATGGCTACCCCTGGTCCTCCTGTCAATTCTAGCCGACGGAATCCAACTTTTCCACTTTGGAAACCTGGATTCTATAGTCCAGACTCATTTTCGACCAAAGGTATCCCGACCTTCCCATTGGTCAGCCGGATGTAGCCATCGTCCCGACGAGACCTCGACCCTGGAGTCCCATCATTGCTAAGTCATGTGGCTACACCTTGGCTTCCTGGTCATTCTGACCGACGGAATCCAACTCTTCCTTTGAATTGTTAATAACTTGAGTACAGGAGTTTCATTGGTCCCCACTTTCATCTCACTTTGATATGGAGAGTCGTCCTCTTAAACTTTGCCCACCTGCGCTCCACATGCATCTACTTAATCATGGTATTATTAATAACTCGTCGAATATTATAAGAGAAGAATTATGAATGTATCGTGATAATTCGAGACGAACGACATTGAACAGAGAAATTCAAAGTAGATATATCCTTCATCAATTGTTCATAAAGAAAAGTGCTTACACCAGTCAATTATGCAAACGTCACGTTTATATCATCTGAAAGAAGTATCTTAAACGGTGAAAAAGTGTGGAATTCGTTGAATAGTCGATTGCTAGCTCGAATTATCAAATTTCAGGATAATCTTTGTAGAAGATAACGTTGAATCTTTGCGAAAGGCTGATTCACAAGCAAGAAAATTCATAATCTTTGTAATTTGTCATCTTACGTTCGGCATAAATTTTTTTCTTTCAAAGTAACGTACTTCATTATCCTTGGGACACGGAATGATAATTTGTTTGGCAAATTTCAAACTCCGGGAACCATATGGCAGATTACGACTGGAACGAAGGAAGAAAGTTCGAAAACTTTCCTCGCTTCGTGAAAATAGTTTCTGGAATTAGTTCGAGTAGCTTCTTGTCAATTAAAAGAGGATTACATTCTTTATTTTCTTCCACGGTGTAAATGTCGCGAGGGTGTTGCTTAACGCTCACTAGGGTATCAGTTGCATCGTGCTACCAAACACACGGTGGACGCAACTTTTTCATTCCGTTCGAACTTGTCACTGAAGTCTTAACCCTTTCACGACAGCGCACCTGTACCATTCTTCGCTACTTTTCGCAACAGTGTGACTGACCATACTTTGCCACTTTTCGCGACGGCGTGACTGACCATACTTTGTCGTCGTTCGAAGCGCAACTGAACCATACTTCGCCACCATGTTTATAGCTTTATTTTGAGTTCGCTATTGAAATAAAATAATAATATAAAAAAACCAATAAGTGGCTGCCGTATATACACGGCGTCAGCCGCTGTGATGCATTAAGTGACTGCCGTATATACACGTCACCGGTCGCGAAAGGGTTAATTCATTTATTTCGTGTATTATATAAACATCATAATATGTTTCCGTGCTAATCGTTTTTATACTATATTTCAAGTTAAACGTTGAAGACTTTCAACCTTTTATGCCTGCAACTTCCAAACTTTGAATTAGTTGAAATTTTTGTTAAGTTTAACATTATTCTTTGAAATGACGAAAATAATTGATTACACATTGTTTCAAAGTAAATTAGGATTTATAATTAGTTCTACTATTCAATAATTCAATGTACATAATAAATAAAATATATATGTTGTATATCATACCTATACAGCAGAAGAAATAGATAAACAATGAATTCATAGTGAATTTAAATTTGATACTAATTCGAAAGGGAACATTCCACACGAAAATCGTATGGTAATAAATCCATGAATTCAATACCACCAAATTTATAGTCGAACGATTTAACCGATTTAATCAAATATAAGCAGATTATACTAATTTGTATCGTAATTCTGGATGAGACCTCATTTAGATTATGAGATCTCTTCTTAATTGCTTTTAGTATACTCAATATTACATAAAGACAAGGGCACAGTAGCAAATTTTTAATTATTCTTCTCATATACAATTACTTTGATAAATATTTTCTCTTTTATTAGTTTAGTTTATCATTTCTTTTATTTATTTATTATATAATAACATTTATGATGTAATAGTTCTTTTAAAAACAAGTGAACTGTTTATAAATTCGCAAATATTGTTGTCTTCACATGTTTCAGTTGTCTGCAATGGAGTCAACAATGAATTTTTTACGAAAATGAGTTCTGAAGCTAGCGAATAACTCCGCCATTTTGTTCACATTCAGAAGTTTTCATTTAATAGTTATTAACAACAAAATTCCTAAAGTTTACCTATATTTAAACATTATAAAGCTGACAAAGTTAAACCTTACTCGGCGTGGTCTACAGTGATAAGCTTTTCGAACTAGCATTAGCTACATTTTCAACGTTTCGGGCTTGGCGTATAAAAAACTGTACTTCATTTTCGCAGAGAGATTTCAATGCAACTGAAAAACTCGTTGAAATTGCACCTCCCATTCGTTCGCATTAACTTCTGCCCACGGTTCCGGACAGGCTAATTAAAAACAGATATCTAATTCCCACAGAAATTTTCATTCTCGTCGAATCTTTCAATAACAAACGCGATAGGTTAATTTTTACTTCAGCTTACTTTACCAGAAAATTGGAAAAATACAGTCAAGCCTGTTTTTGTGCGGTAGATAGGGACCGCATAATAGAAACCGCAGAAAAAAAATGTTTAGAAATTTACGAAATAGTGAGAGAGTGCTTTCAAACAAAATAAATAATTAAATTACGCATAAAATCATTTAACAAAAATTTAATTTCTCATACAAGGAGAAATTTTCACGATGCACATAATTCACTGCTACTCGTCGTAGTCCAAAACGCGCATCTTCTTGTGATGAACTGGTTCAAACTCGCTATCGTCATTTGAAGAACACCGTTGGAATTCGTATACCGCATAGAAAAAATCACGCAAAATAAACCGCCGCACAAAAACAGGTTTGACTGTAATCAGCATAACGAGCAAGGTTTGTTTCAGAATATTTCCACTCGATGAAAGATGGCGAATGGAATGAAATTCATTTCTCGAGCGCGCGTGGTTCACGGCCGGCATAATCGAATTTGAACATACTCTGTCGACGGTTAATCGAATGCAGGCGCCGACAAATTTTCAAAGCGAAGATTTCGAACGAGATCATTTTTGTCTGGTGTCTCATTAACGCATTGCGTACCGGCTAATTTTCGGAAAACTGATTCGTGCGGATGGCAATTTTCACTGAGATCAACGTATATCACTATCCACAGAAAAACTCAGGTATCATATTGTTATGTAATATATTTTGAATAGATAATCAATTCGAATGAAATTTTATATTTTTCTCAATGCTGTGGTAATCAGCGAAGTTGCATAGCTAAATGTCTCTATATAAAAACGAGGTTTCTCGTTACCGGTACGCAGTGTGTTAATTTAATTCAGAGTTCAACGTGTTTGCGCATGCGGTTGCGTAAGTGGAATGTTGTGCGAAAAAACGCGCGAGAGAAAAACAACGGATTTCGGTTTTACGGTTAACGAAATATTTGGTTTGTCGTTATTTCATCGCGAGCATACGGGGATCGCGATTCCCTTCGATTTCCCGTGATTTATTTATCAGTCCCAGTCCACAACCATTGCAATGGTCTAGCACTCGGTTATTTATGTTGAACGTTCCGCTGACCAGGGTAATATTGGATTCCTCGGGAGTTCAGACGTTTTACCTCGAACTGCTATCGCGAATGCTATCTATTCGCGAAAGTTTTTAATTAAATTGTGTGCGGAGTAAAATATAGACATTGGTTTCCTGCGAAATGGGATTTCGCCGTTCAAAACGGAACGGACAATCGTTGGAGGGTCACTTTCCACGGTTGAATTCGCGTTAACACTTATTTGTCTAGTAGTCAACGCGGAACAGATAAGAATGTATGATTCTATTAAAAAACAATCCTGATATCATCGAAGATGATAGTAACAGTCGTAAAATATCCTTTCTCAAATTGTATTCCGTAAATTATATTTGCTACCCCTTCTTTATCTCATCAGAAGTAACGGGAATATTGGGGTGAGTGATGTAAACGACACACACACTATATTACATGCATCTGAACAACACCGAAAATCAAAAATGAAAGACAAGTTACGATTTAAAGAAATATGATCATAAGTACATTGGAATACAAGCAGTTACATCAAATTCATTTATAATTCTTTACGAGAAAGAAAATGCGTTTCACGCGAAATATTGAAATATAATACTTTTCACATTTTAAGGATTGGCGAATGCTTTGATCAATCTCTAGAAAATCTCTTTGAAGCTTCCTCTGAAACTGAAACGACAAACCGAATTTCGCTAAAACAATAAGCATGTATTCAATATCTTTAATCATTCATTATTCAAAACTAAAACGTTGCGGTTCACTTGTGAACAAGCTGCTTGTAAACGTAACACAAAACCAACGAACGAAACTCGACTCTAATTCGTACTCTGTATTTTCCAGATACCGGGAGTGCTTCGCGAATGGTCTGAGAACGAGGAAGATCGAGAGAAACAATGATGCCGATCGCTTATTATTTTTGCCATTGTGTTTCATTCGCTCGGGAGAGGAATCATTTTAAATGATTTCAACTCGTCGGAGTATTGTTCGGTCGGAGTGTTCGCGGAGAAGAAGGAATGATCGACGCGTTCAACCTGTTGATACTTGGGAAGAGAGCGAATCAACAATAGCGATCGTTTATCGTCGAATTGCACGGAGAGCAAGAGGCGCGATATAACGGGTGGCGCCAGGATGACGTCCCTCGATTACAACGTGTCCGGTAACGGAGTGCCGTCGATCGACTACCTGTCCAACCTCGATACGAATCAACCGTTCGTTAACGGACCGTCGCAGCTGTCAACGATAAGCTCGATAATTGCGAATGTTACGGTGACGACGCGTGCGAGGCCCAATCACCGCAATTTACTGGAAACTTTAATTATTCCGTTATACGGAACGATATTTCTGCTTTCGGTGGTCGGGAATTCATTGGTGTTGATCACGCTCGCACGGAACAAGAGAATGAGGACGGTCACCAACGTGTATCTGTTGAATCTGGTGAGCAAACTGCTTCTTTCTTTATTCGTGTTGAATATTTATTTGCTAAAATAAACACAATACAGTTTGAAAACTAAGTGTATATTTATTAGTATGTATTAACACGTTGAATGCCATGGGGGTCACCGGTGACCCCCAATCAAATTGACTTACCTTAGTTTGCACAATTAAACGATGATTATTCGAAAATATTTCTATATTTTCGAATAATGCTATCTAACGCGGTGACGTTCAGCTAGATGGACGTGCAATTATAGTAATGCAATTCGATCGAATGATTTGATATTTGAGTTTTTCCATTTTGCGTATTTTCCGCCATGAAATCGTGCGGCATTCGACGTGTTAAGGTGATTTACAAAAATTGAAACAGAACGTTGCTCGTTGCTTGAGCGTTTACTAACTGCTGAACGACGCGGAGGGAAAAAAAGACGCGTGCCATAAAAATGGCTGTCCCGAGAAAAACAACTGATTCCTGCAAGGGAGAGGACTGCACCAACGGATGCTTTCTAGCCGTTAAAAATATATTTAATGCTCACTCTCAACAATTTGCTTCTAGTTCGTTGTCTTTGTCGCTTACATGTTTACTTTTACTTTCTATTTATTTGTTTATTTTTACTTTTTACTTATTCGTTTGTTACCGTCGATTTATTATTCTGAAAGGACAACGACAATGTTTGCTGCAACTCGCGAATTTATCTCGATGTGAAAAATCGGATTATTGAATTTTTAACAACTCATACACTTTTCACTGAGTGTTTCGAAGTTTAGATAGTAACGTTATGCAAACGTTGATTAGCAATAAATATTATTACAAAATTGATTGCAGCGGTTGATCTTAAATATTTGCGTTAAATATATTGTAACTGACGGTTATCTCAGGAATGATTGTAAGAGACGTTTACTGAGAAGGGTTCATTCGAAATCTGGCACCGCACTTTCGAGGAAAGAAGTCGATTTAGAACGTGACCTTCGTAATGCGGACGGTTTCTCAACGAAATTGAATTTCACAGGCTCCATCGATGGGGCTGGGTAAAGAACTGTGAGATGTGACGCTTTGATCTACTTTCGCAACGATAAAAACAGTACAAACGCTAAATCACTGAGCCCAGTAAATAAATCAGGAGCTAGTTACGATACAATGTTTTAATCCTTACGTTGAAAGTATAATTGAATTATAATAATTTATAATAAATTACATTCTAACTAAATTTTACAACTTTTGTATTCGGTTATGTTATTATTAAGTTCTTCATGCCTTATCACATAACAAATGGCACCTTCTTTAGTAATATAGATAAATTAAGATAACAATTTTAACAAAGTCAGTGGTGTGATAAAAAGAATTAATTTGTCAACAGAATATAATATAATTAAATTTCAAATGGAGTCCAATCAATATTGGATAATTAATTTTTGTGATGATTATGAAAGTGTTTATTTTACTATTAACAAAAAATGATGTTAACTAATACCATCAGTCAACATCACTTTTTGTTAATAATAAGATAAACACTTCCATTAGCACCAGGAAAATTAATTATCCCATATTGATTGGATTCCATTCGACATTTAATTATACTCATTGGTTTCCATCCCAATAAAATTATTTGACCAATGATATTACTTAAATAATTTGTGGAACGCACACGTGAGAACATTCTATGAGAATCCCTTGACTTTTCCGTACGCGAATGATGCAGATATATTTCTTAATTGAAACTAGAAAAATGACTACGTAAACGTGACAAATTGAAGATATCACGGAGCAGTTGCGAAACTTATGGGGGAGAAAATGGGGCGAAGTGTAGTAACCTGGAAACATTGCAGCCTTAAGTTCATAAATTTCATTGGAATATGTGTTACGATGTTAAAGAGTAATAAAAAAGAAAATATGAAATTGTGTCGAAGATTGTAATAGAATAATTTCTAAATATGATTAATTCAACAGTAATTTTCATGATATTCCTTTTTTATTTCTTGAATTATTAAAAATTTCCATTTCACATACAATTAAGTTTCATCGAAATGATTTGCATTAATTCCAGTCTTTACGTGATATAATATTTAAATAAATATATCTTACAAACAGAAAAATAGAATTTCAGTTGCTTAGAAAGAGAAAGGATCCACATCGAGAATAAAAAATAAATTATTGTGAAGTGTAT